ATTCCATATGCACGAAAACCAGAACAGGCAATTTCTACAGAGGCAGCCTTATTATAGGTTTTGGAGAATATACCTCCAAGTTGATCAGCTGTTATTTTTCTTCCAGGATGCTCACGCAACCATGATCCACATTCTATATTATAAAAAGTTTTTAATGGTTTAAAAAAGCTTTGATCAAGTGGTTGCAACTTATGAGAAGTATGAGGTGGTAAGATTATAATAACTAATCCATTTCCCTTTGAAAAATCTAACAAGTTAATGTTTTTTGTATGAGCTTTGTGCCCATCTAAAATTAAAAGAATTTTATTTTCTATAGAAGCTCTAGTGTACTTAGTAAAGTGTTTTATATACTCTATGAACAGATCAGTTGTAATCCATCCATTTTTAGAGCACCCTCCAATTGTTCCAAAGGGAGCATGGTTGATTAGTTCTAATTTCATTCGCTTTCTCTTAAAAGTCATCATTGGTGAAACAAATAGTCCAGTTACATTCATAGCACAAACAATGGTTGTTGTTACACCCCGTTCACCACTTGTTACAGAAAAAATACAATGTTTCCCTTTTTTTGTTATAACTTTAACAGGTTTATGTACAGTTGTTATGCCTGATTCATCGCAGTTAAAAATTTGATGAGCTTCAAAATTATATTTTTTAATAACATTTTCTATATTATTGAAATAAATGTTCACAGAACTGCGGTTTAAACCACAAATAGGATTTAAACCATAAATACGATTTGAATCCTTCTATGTAAAGCATCTTTATTAAAACTAAATGTCAAAGCTGCTTATCTCAGTGACATTTCCTTTAATTTTACAGAGTCGATTGCCAATAACATGCTCTGCTCAGAATAATTGCCACGATCAGTTTTTCTTTTATAGTTTCTAACCATATTTCACTTTCTATCTATATATATATATATATATATATATATATATATATATATATATATATATATATATATATATATATATATATATATATATATATATATATATATATATATATATATATATATATATATAAATATATATATATATATGTATATATATATATATATATATATATATATATATATATATATATATATATATATATATATATATATATATATATATATATATATATACATACACCAACTAGAAGAATTATTAAACCATACATGCATATATTAAACTTAACGTACACATAACATTCATTGTATTTTGTTTATAGTTTACTGCAATAACCTATATGCTATAATCTACTCACTATATATTTTATATACTACTTATTTAGGCAATTATTTGCTTCAATTTGATTAAATATTCATTATATTTAAATATAAGTTAACAAAATATAAAACATAATTCTATATTAGATAACAACTAAACATTTCAATTAATAAAAACAAAAAGTAAGTAAATACAGTATAATAAATTTAAATCTACAGCATGTAAATGTTAATATTTGCTATGATTGTTGTTTTAATGTAAAACGTTAAATAAAAATAATATTAGATATCGGCAAAACAAATACAAACAGTATGTCTCGTTTTGCCCCGCATCATGTTGGCATCGAATTGCTTAATTTCCAGACTATTTTATTGAAGAAATAAAATACCAAAGAATGGAAATGATAGAAAAAGGCCTAAAGATTCTAATAAAAAAAAAATTTTAATATAAAAAGCTTTTTCACTCAGTGAGATTAAAAAAGGCTAGGAAAAAATATAATAACAAAACTTAAAAATTCGTAAATTTCGCGAAGCAGAGGAATAAAATGATTCCCATCTATTCAATTTTTTTATTTCAAAGTGACTCAATATATTTTTCTTGACACAAAATAGTTTTAGAACACAACTGCACTTTTAAAAATCTTGCAAATAATAATTTGTAGGGCTGGCATCATGATAAACGCGAACTGTCTCATATTGCCCCGCGTTACCCTGCATAGGAATCCAAGAGTGCTAGTCAAAATTTTGGCTTTATATACCCTAACGTATATATATATATATATATATATATATATATATATATATATATATATATATATATACATATATATATATATATATATATATATATATATATATATATATATATATATATATATATATATATATATATACATACATATATATATATATATATATATATATATATATATATATATATATATATATATATATATATATATATATATATATATATATATATATATATATATATGTATATATATATATATATATATATATATATATATATAAATATATATATATATATATATATATATATATATATATAAATATATATATATATATATATGTATATATATATATATATATATATATATATATATATATATATATATATATATATATATATATATATATCATATATTGTCATTAGATAAAAAAATTTAATGAACGGAATGAGGTATCGACCCTAAATATTGCGGTAGTGGAGTAGTGGTAGAGCGCTCGCCTCATAACTAGAAATTCTGAGTTAAGCGAGAGTTCCACGTCCCTGGTAGTACCAGGGACGTGAAACTCTCAACTTGTTTCTCCGCGAAGCGGTCTTGTTCGTTGTGGTTCGTGTTTCGAAATTAGAGAGTTGAAAGAGAGTTGTAACCACAAAAGTAGCCTCCTACTTAGGCAAGGTGAATAATTGAAAAAAAATAAAATTTGGTACATACACAATCAATTCGGTACATAGACAATCTTTCATATCGCTTATGTATCATACGAATTTCTTAGATAAGGATCATTTATTTAATAATCATTTAGATAATAATCATGCATTTAATGATCATTTATTTAATGTGTTAAAAGTTTATCAAATTGTATTTTCAGCAAACGAGACATATTCAGATCTGTGTATCTTTTTTTGGGGCAGATTATCGGAGCCATTATTTTTTAGCACTTAATTAAGGACATATTGATCTGATTAAAGTCGTTTGAAAATTTTTTTTCTGGCTAATTAAATACCTGATTTTCGAAATTTTGATACGATTTGTTAAAATTGTTTTTATTTATTGAAAAGTAGATTCATTTGATTATATCACCTTAGCTGAGAGTATCAAAAAAACACCTTCAGTGAGTCAAAGGCATTTTTTTCCTCTTGGCTGTTTAACTGGGGGTAATTATTAGATTGGAGGTAAATGTTTCTATATTCGTATTAGAATGTAGATTATACATATATTTTTGTTGAATACTTAGAGTATCTAAACTACTACAGACGAGGAGGCTGATGACTTAATTGTGAATGACTTAATTGTGGTTTTAACCCTCTTTTAACTCTATAACTCCGAAAAACGAACCTTGAGGAACAAGGAAAAACAAGTTGAGTGCGGTACTACCAGGTATGTGGTGGGAATTGAACTCGGCACCTCTCGCTTGTGAAGCGAGCGCTTTTCCGCTACACCAATACCGTGTCCAAAGTAAATTTAAGTTTTTTACTCAACAGAAAAAATAATTTTTCAATAACAATTTCATCATAAACGATGTCAAAGGGTTTAAACAAATCAATTAATTCTTTCACGATCTCGAGATTTTTTGAAGACTTACAAATACAAATGACAAAAGTACAAAGACATTCTTTTGGTTGAGAAGCAGGAGTAGGAACAGTGCCTACAAAAATAGCCTACAACAAAATTTCCACAACAACTTTGGTCTGTAAGAGCAATACATTGTTCATGTAATTATAAATTGTTTCACTGTTCTTTTAAAAGATTTAAAGTTGGTTATATTTTTTCTGTAATCTTTCAAGATCGAGTTCGACTTCGACTATATAATCAATTTCACAGACTTCGACTATATAATCAATTTCACAGACTTCGACTAATCAAGTAGTTTTTTGAAGTTATCTTGACGGATTTAAATATTGCGAATGGAATATCTTGTTAAGTATTAGAGAATAATTAGATACTAATACTTTATACTATTTCCTATAATTTAGAACATGCTACTAAATTATATTAAGGGAAAAGATACAAATATTTTATATTATTTCCAATAATATAATTTGAAACACGTGGTATTATTACAAAAATCATCAACAAATAAATTATAAGGTTTTATTTTTTCAAATTCATCATTAAGAATTGCGGCACTTGTTTTTATTTGGGGTGAGAAAGCCATAAAAATATATTTTTATAATATATAAAAGATGAAATATGAACAAATTCAAAGCTATGAACATTATTGTAAAAATAAAGAATAAAAAGACAACCTAAATACCAAACAAAAAATAACAAACGAATCCTACATTATTATTTTAAAATAAGCTTTTCTGCAATAACTTGTTTAAAACGCAAATAAAGCAAATTGATTGATTTTTTGCGAGAGTACTTGTTTTTCTTACTCTGTACGAAAAACTGCGTACTCTAGGTACGGTAGGTAAAGTAAGTATACTTGTGACGAGTATTTTAATGGTTACATTAATTATAATTAAAAATGTTGAAATCCTTAAAAATAATTAAAAACGATCTATATGTATACATGGTGCCAATACCCCACCATATTTTGCAACCTATTCCAGTTATCACTCCGTATGCAGTGTGTTAAAATTTATAAATAAATTTGGTCTTGACAAAAATGTTTTATTGATTAAAGTAACAATATTAGCTTTAAAATCAGCCATTATACTTTATTTTCCTTATATCTAAGAAAAGCGGAAAATGAAAAAAAAACTATTTGAATATTTACAACTTCAATACTCGCAAATTATATAATTTACTAAAAACTAATACGCAAATTAGTTTTGTTTAAAATGAATAGAAATTCATTTGACGCAAATATAAAACAACGTAAAATATCCAAAATTACTCTTCAACTAATTCGTGTATTTATTATTATATTTTAAACTTCATCTAAAAGTATAATTTAAAATATCTTTTTTTAAATTTCCCAAAGGAGAAGTTCAAAGTTAAAAAAAAACTACACAAAAACTTAATTATAATTAGCGGATTTCTTAAAAAAAAATATTTTTATCATAACGTAACGAGAAAAGCAATTAAAAGCATCATGGTTAGATAATACAATAGATAAAAACCACGCAATATTTTTACATCAGATTTAAATTAAAACGAGTTTAGCAATCATTATAATATAGAGTGTGAATTGAAAAAAACAAAACATAATGACAGTTAGAATAGCTATTGTAGGAGATAAAGGAGTTGGAAAATCAGGTAAAACATATATATATATATATATATATATATATATATATATATATATATATATATATATATATATATATATATATATATATATATATATATATGTATATATATATATTATATATATATATATATATATATATATAAATTTCTTCTTACCTCTTAAAATACTTTTATTTTCTTATTTAATGTCATTATTACATTCGTTAATTTTGTCACTACTTTAATATAAGAATAAGTTTTTTTTCTCTCGAATTTGAATTTTGGAGAGTTTTATGACCTTTTTATTGTTTTAGTTTTGTTTCCTTTTTTTTACTTAAACTTATATCATTTTATTGTAGTTATGTATATTTTTTTACTTAATAATATTATTATTAGTTCATAATAATATTATTAGTCATGATTAATTATATATATATATATATATATATATATATATATATATATATATATATATATATATATATATATATATATATATATATATATATATATATATATATATATATATATATATATATATATATATATATATATATATATATATATATATATATATATATATATATATATATATATATATTAATATATATATTAGTTGATTTTTTTTTGATTTACATAAAATCTTATTAAACTGACTTTTTAACTTTTATTTAAGCTCTTGTTCACCTTTGTGTGAAAAACTTGTTTCAACCGATCGCACCATCTGGGAAAGACGTTGCGCACAGATTGTTAACGGCTAAAAACGCTGTTGTAGATCTTATCGATTTTAATGGTAAAAACGATGCTCTAATAAGCTGCGCTGACGGTTTTATAATATGTTATTCAATAACAGATAGAAAAAGTTTCGAGAACATAGAGTCTATTTTAATAAAAATTGTTGATTTAAATATAAAAAGACCGAAAATTGCAATTATAGGTAATAAAAATGATTTAGACGATCAAAGACAGGTCTCTGTATCAGATGGACTTAATTTTGCCAAAGAATTAAAAGTTTTGTTTTACGAAACCTCTGCTCTTGTTCCATCAATCGATTTTAGGCAAGTTCTTAATGAACTTCGTAAATCTATTTTAAGCTCGAGGAAATCAGAAAAAAAAGTAAAACACACAAACTTCTTAAGTTCGGAAAATTTATTAAACGAAGTTCTAGACAAATCGATAATTAACACGAAAAAATTTAATGGCTGCAGTCGTAACAAACAAGAACGCGTGTTCGGAACTATAAAAAAGAAACTACTAAAGAACAATCACCGTCTCGTCAAATAATTTTTTTTTAAAACCAAACAATTCTTATCTAATCTTATGTTTCCGTTAAGGATATTTATTTTAATAATTTATTAAAAATATTTTATTTTTTAAATTTTATTTAAAAAATTAAGTATATTTTTGTTTTTAATAATTAAGCAGCTCTCAAAAACAGGCTTAAATCATTTTAAAGCCTATCCTCTTCGGTGTGTTTTATTTTATTTAAAATAATTTTCATTGATATTGCCGACATTACGGTAGTTATTAATACTATTTAATGGTATTAGTCTAGCGCATTTTTAAAATGTTTTTTTTTTCCTAATAATTTCTTCATAAAACTTAATAATATATTAAGTTTTATGAAGAAATATATTTATATATATACTTATAACTTTTATAATATAACATACGTTATATAGTACACCTAATATATAATATATTATATTATACTAAGCAATTATAGTAAGTAGCCGTGGCGCAGTGGTAGCGCACTTGCCTCAGAAACGTAAGATCCGTGGTTCATACCCCACCTCTGGGCAAGTTTTGCGACATCTGTTGGGAAGGAGGCGTGAACTTCCCATTAAATGCTCTTCCGCGGTGCTCTGTGATAAGACCGTAAAGACTTCTTGGGGCACCTTAATCAACTTAAAAAAAAAACAAAAAAAACAAACTATATATATATATATATATATATATATATATATATATATATATATATATATATATATATATATATATATATATATATATATATATATATATATATATATATATATATATATATATATATAAATAGTTTATATATATATATATTATAAATATAAACTTATAAATATATATTTATAATTTATAAAATTATAATATATATATATATAATTTATAAAATTATAAATATATATATATGTATATATATAATATATGTATATATATATATATATATATATATATATATATATATATATATATATATATATATATATATATATAAACATATATATATACATCCTTTAGTCCTTTAGAATATGTATCACTGTTCTAATACATTTTAATCTAATCTAATTTAGTTGCATTAGTGCCGTGGCAAGTGGATCGAAGCCCCCTCCCCCCAAAAAAAAAATAAAACCTGCTTAAAATATCCCAAAATATTGAAGATAACTTATATTAGGTGTTACCAAAAAAAAAAAAAAAAGAAAAGAAAAAATACAAAAACAGCTCCTTAAATATTTAAAAGGGTTCCTAAATTTCCAAGTAGCCTCCCTAAAATTGCTGTCTTCTCTCCCCTCCCTAATTGGGCTGTGTAGGGGAACCTAGCCACGACTCTGGTTTGCGTACATTCTCATAACATATTTACATAGTTGTTAGGATAAAATATATCAGTTTGAGACTGGATATTAACGTATGAGCGAACATTATGCTGATAATTTTTATAATTCATTTTCTCAACATTAATTGACAGTTTGCTAGCCCTAAATCAATTACCGTTTAAAACTAAAAAAACAATATAAAAAAAAAAGTTTATACTTTGATCATTTAAAACTTTATTTTGAATGATTGGCAGGTATGGTTTCTTTAAAAATACTTTTAAAGGAACCATACCAACAATACGTTTTTGAGACGTGTTAAACGCTTTTGTGCTTACTCGGAGGAGTAGACTAAGAATTGATCCCTTGAAAACTTCGCTTAAGACTTTAAATATTCCAATTTAGGGACTATGCATTTATAGCTTTATATCAGTAAAATATTTTTAATCAAGTAAGCAAGTCAAGGTTGTATTAGCTCTATGTTGTATTAACTATATACTTAACAGCATATTATACCTAAAAGAATGGTTCGCCGAATACTTTAGATTAATCAGTAAAGACTCTATCAGTAAATCAAATTATTTTTATTAAAATCATCAGTTATTTGGTTGACTTCTTCAATAACTGGTCGCCCCGTAGACAAAACTCATCCTTTTAACAATTTTCCCCGACTTATTAATAAACTCTACGGCCCTCAAACTAATTAAAGTCTACCCTATCTCGATTTCTCTGAACAGCTAAACTAAACAAAATTTCAATTGCGTTCTCCGACGGAAAAGAAAACATTGGAAACCCTAACGTTTTAAAAGATAATTGCATGAAATATTGTTTTTTGGAGATTTTACGTAGATTTTATTTGATGTTGGTATCATTTAATTTACAAGTTTTAAACCAACATCGTCGAAATACTGTTTTACATTTTTTTAAGGATTAAGCTTAATTAATGCATTAATTTTTTTTTCGAACTTTTAATTTGATTATAATTGAATGCTATCATAACGATGTTCTTTTTCAGTGTTTTTAATTTTTAAGAATTTGTTAAACAATTTTAATTCATTGCATTTGAATAGAGATTCATTCATTCGGGGATTAGCTTTTGCCGTGTTTAATATATTCTTATGAGAACAGGTCAATTGTAGCACTAGTTACTTGAAGTTGTATAAACAGCTGGCAAGCTTTAAAAAAGCGCTCTTGAACTTTGTAAACAACATGTGTTTTCGGAAAAAGCAATTTTGGCAATGCAATTTTTTTTGAAAAAGCAATATTTGCAAATGCTTTACAGAATGGTAAACCAAGCCCAAAAGTATTTATTACTTAAAAAAACATTTTTTCTCTCTCGATGTGAAAAAAAACACTCATGAAAATCAACAATAAATCCATTAAAACTACAGATAAAATTAAAAAGATTTACGACATAAGCAAGTTGCTTATGGTTGCTTAACGCAACCATATATCAAATTATTTAATTAACCATAATAACGTTTAAATTTAAAGTTGTTTAAACTTTTAACTTTTGGAAAATAAAAACATTCAGTCACTTATTACATTATGACAATTTTCATGGATATAAAAATAAAATAAAATCTGTTATGAAATGATATTTACAATTTTAAATCAAAGATACTCACAATAAATATTTTTTTATGTTTTTATCTCTATTTTTTTTATTTATTTTTTTTCTTGTAATCTTTAAACCTCACTTAGTTTTCATTTTTAATACGTCTTTCCATTGTGTCTTTTTTATTCACACCATTCGGCCCGATTAATTGCCATTCTTAATCGCGTCTTTTTTTTCATCTTATCTTCTATGCTTTCTACAAACTCCGCGCAAGTTGCATAAGTTCTTTTTTTTTCGCTAAGTATTTATAAATTAAAAATCATAAAATTAAAACTAAACAACTTATAAATATCTAACTAATTAAAAATAAAAAACTTTGGTAACTTTGAATAGAAATCTATTTTTTTTGAAAGTTTTGCATTTCAAAATTTCAAGCCTTTCGAGCCTTAAACATTAAAATATTAAAGATAGTTTCTAATTTGATTATTTAAAGCGTTACTTTGTTTATTGGTTGTTATTTCTTTAAAAATCATTTAAATATTTCGGATATTTTTCTTAAAAAAAAACAAACTTAAGTAGATAGATACGCAAATCATATTCACAAGAAAAACTGCAATAGACATTTCTCTAATTCGATGGTGCAATTGATTTCTCGGCTTCAAAAATAGGCCAATAAGGACAAAAATGTAAACACACTAAATTCGTACTAAATAAAAATGTCTCATTTTAACTACAGGCTATAGTTAAAACGAGACATTTTAATATGATTTACTTATGAGATACTATATGAGATATTTTAATATGATATATAATAGACATGATATACAGTAACCCTCTCCGGCCTTTTTTCAATATTGGCCTGATAATGCTATAGTATAGCGTTATCAGACCAAATTATTTGCACCTCCTTTACGTCTACATTTTAATATAGACGTGGAGGAGGTGCAAACAATTTTGAAATAATGAAACAGGCTTAAACTGCAGTGGAGCATAATTCAAGACCATGGTCGACATTCCAAACAATTTTTTTTTTGATAATAAACAGGGACCATTTCCCAATTCCAAAAACACATTAAACAAAATCATCCATTGGGGGCTTTTTGAGAAATTAGGTATTTTAGATTTTTGAGAGGTTTTAAGAGGAAAAAATTGTTTGGGATGTCTGCCATGGTCTTGAAGTATGCTCCACTGCACTGTGTTTAGAACAAGCTAAAATATTTGAAATATTTTATATTGATTAACTTTTGATTAATATATATACTTAATGTATGTACTTAACATATGTACTTTATGTATATATTTTCGACTAATAAAAGTTTATAAAATAACCGGTTTTTTTAATAAACATTATTTTAAATACTTTGTTTACCAATAACAGCTGTTTACCAATTAATCAGCTGGTTTTAGTAAATGTTTACATAATTATTATCAACTTATGTGAATTGTGCAGCAGTACTTGTGTTTAAGTCGACATTGTTATATTTTACAAAGAGTTTATTCAAGTAAGAAATTTTTTTTAAGATAGATTAATTAGTTAAGGTGGTACACCAATAAAAGTAAAAAAAAAAATTTTTTTTGACTTTTATTATTTAACCAATATAATCATCGCAGATTTCGAATTTTTAGTTGATTTAACTAAATAAAAAAAGCTTCACATGTTAAAACCTGTTTATAATGAATCGGTATAAAATAATTTTTATTTTCCCCCTAGCAATGCTTTGTTTATTCCGTTGTTATGCGCTTCAGAAACAAGATAAAACCATAAAAAAGCCATAAAATACTTACCTAGCCAACTACTTTAAGTGCAAAGTTGTAGACTGCAACGACTTCTTGTTAACTAGTTCAGTATGATGGCTTTATTGACGTAATTCGCTTCTTGTTTCAACCTTTATTATTTATGCTGTAGTATATCTTTTATCTTTTTACAATAAAAATAATATGGGTAGATCAAAAAGAAAACAATTATCAAGCAGAATATACAATAATAAAAAAGCAAAATTTTGTGGAAACAGATATACAAAGATTCCTTCTTCAGAAACGAAAACTTTATCTTTTGTTGAATCTGCTACACATTCTGCTTCTTCAAAAAAATTAAATATTGCTGATAGAGATTTTCAAGATTTTCAAAGTACAGATTTTAACTTTGTTATGAACTTTAGTCTGTTGGAAAACGTTATATCGTTACTTAAATGCCCAAATTTGTGTGAAGATAACGTTTTTTTAATGTTTGATTCGTCAAAAAATTTAGTATTGGTTTAAAAATATGTTGTAACAGTT